TACAGTGGAGCGCGATTGGTTTAAAATAATAGAAAACACACATAACAATATAAAAAATTTTTACCGCGTGGATATATGCCTATATTTATCGTCCTCTTAATCGTATATATTCTTCCACAATTTGTGAACGCAGGCTGGCTTTGTTATTTTGTCGTATTTATATGTGATGTCTTCACCTGTTAGGCGTAGTTTTTTCATTTTCCTAAAGGTTTAAAACAAAAATTGATTTAGTTTGTTAACGATTTTGCAATATAATACACTACAATTTCTCAATGTAAGAGAAATTTTATCAGTTTAGCAGCTTACCTTGTTGTTGAATTTGTTGATTTAATTGTTTAATATTGCGTATTTCCTTTTCCTTCGGCAAGTTCTTCGAATCCCTCATTTTTTCTCTTATCTCCAAGTGCATATTTTCAGTTTTATGAAGATTCTTACATTTTTTCACAGCAAGCTCCAACTTTCCCACAGATCCCATTAAGTATACTTCTTTCACCTCTGTTCAACGCTGCCTCCCCTTTTACCTGCAAGCAGACATATGACAATTTAATTGAAGTTATTTTAATTTAATTTAATCTCTCAATTTTTAATTATGCTGACAAATTCTTCATTAGTGTTGTGTAAAAAATGTTGTTTTAAACATTAATTATCATTATACCTGCGTCCATCGTTGACTAAAAGCTTTCTTCCACGTCTCAAACCACTGTTTCTTCTGTAATATTCATGCATATTATTTTTCCAATTGTAATAAAATATACTGTTCGACATAACAGATAGAACATGACAGGATTACATTACATTCAATTTAATTCAATTAATGTCAACAAGACTTTTATTAATTTACATTGAAATCTAATGTGACTTTATCATATTCTATGTATTAGTTTAAACAAATTATACTTCAATAAATTTTTTTTTACAGGTATATTGAAATATCTATTTATACTTTCTTATGGGTATATTATTAATATATCTTACATTTCTTTTCTAATATTGGTCACTGGTCATTTTACTTACCATTCTCTGCTTATATTCCTCTTCTCCTTTTTTCTTTTTATGACGGGCTTTGTTCCTTACGTCAAATACACGTGCTTACTTTAACTGATATTGTAAACTTTTCTGACACCTTGTATAGACTGTCCGTCTGCTCCGATAATGTGTCACTGCGAAACTTTATGTTATGGTTGTGAGCAGAGACCATCAACTCTCACATGACAGAGTGCGTTCCAAAACTTGTAAAAAAAGTCAGACAACCTTTTTAGCCACGATCATACATATATAAAGGTACAACATAAAACACATCTATTAAATACAAGTACATGCAGTAATGTATCATAATATTCAAAACATTGCATGTAATGATGGTTGATTTTTTCTTTAAAAAACAAGAAAAAATAATAGAAATTTTGAAAATGATATTTGCTACGTGTGTATTGTTTAATGTATTTGTCAACATTTCCCCATAAAGTACCTCCTAGAAAATAATTGATAAAATATTTTTACATATAATAATGAATATCATCTTTACATTAAAATTATGTAATAAAAAAGTAGTATCTAATATTATCATTTTTTCTTAAAGGGAGTAAGGGAGGAATGGAAGAGAAGGGAGGAAATATGGGAAAGGCAGAGAAAGGCACTAGAAGAAAAGGTAAAAACGATGGAGGAGAAGATAGAAAAATTAGAGATGAAGGGCGCAGAGGAGAATGAAGGCAGGGAGTTGATAGAAAAAATGAAGGAAATAGAAAAAAGTGTGGAGATGACGGAAAGAAGAAAGAGAAAAAATAACATAATCGTAAAGGAGGAGAAGTTAAGAAACGCTAAAGAGAGAAAAGAAAATTTCGAAAAGTTGATGGAAGAACTAAACAATACAGAAGGAAGCATAGAAGAAATACAAGAAATAGGAAACAGGGAATACAAAATGAGACTCTTGAAATGCAAAAACTGGGAAGCTAAAAGAGACATCATGAAGAAAAAGAAGGAACTAGGAAGGAAATATGGAAGCTTTCTGGATGACGATCT